ATAGCACTGCCGTATTCAAAGCCACAAAGAGGGCTTGCACTGTGTCAGACCTAAAGAGGTTTCTGTTTTAACTTTGTAATTGAGAAAATTCTTAACATTCATCAGAATAGACAGAACATAATCCCCACGCACCCTTCACTAGCCCCAAACATCCATAACCCATGGCCAATCCTGCCTCGTCCTCACCCATCCACTGCCCCCCTTGAATTACTTTGAAGTAAACTCCAGATATCAGGCCAGTTAAAGCCGGAGCTGGAAGCCTGGCTCTGCCCCTTACTGGTTGTGTGATCTTGGGCAAGTCACTTACCATCTCTAAGTCTATCTCCTCATCAGTAAAGGGGTAATGATAATGCTGATTGGCTGTTAAAATTACCCAGACCAGTGTCCAGAGCAGACTGACACTGAGAAAATAATGTTTTCCTCCATGTGGCTAGAATCCACATGCTTTCACTCAAAGACCAGGGTTGTTTTGTTTTTGTTTCACTAAGATTTGCAGGCACCCCGAATTTTAATGATGTGGCTACTGCCCAAATGCAGATCCATCAATAAGAGCACAAAGGTTACTAGGAGCAGTGACATCATATTCCATTATAGCCACATACGCAGGCCATTCCTAAAGCACTGTCTTCACGTGCCAGTGCTGGGTTCTAAGAGTGACAGCTCCAGACTGCATAGTGTCCAGAAGAGGCATCACCAAATCAGATTGTTCACAAACTAAGAACTGGAACCAGTTAGCACGTAGTAGGACTCTCCGAGGGACTGGTTTTAAATATGTAAAATGCAAGGAACCCTAGTTGCACTGTGGTTTAGGCATTGGGCTACAAACCACAAGGCCAGTGGTTCAAATCCACAAGCCACTCTGAGGAACAAAGATGAGGCTGTTTTCTCCAGAGATTGACAGTCTCAGAAACTCACAAGCACAGTTCTGCCCTGTCCTGGAAGGTTGCTATGAGTCAGATTCAACTCTACGGGCAGTAGGCGAGTATATGAAGTTCCTGAATGATGAAATTGATTTTCTCAGGGTTGTTCCAAAGGTCAGGGGGTGGAGCCCTGGGTAGAGACAGACCAGTCCAGCAAAGCTGTCCAACAAAGATACAGGCCACTCTGTGAGGGGTGAGCTCCCATCAAAGGAGGCATTCAAAACACGTCTAACAGAGACCCAGTGGAAAGGATTCTTGCTTCAAAGTCCCCCTGCAGACTTGAGATTCTGTGATGTGGGGGCAGGTGGGCAGGCAAATCCGTGCTTAGCCATCCTACTATTCCTGAGTGCTATTCATTTATTCACCTAACATGACTATGGGTAGGCTTTCTGTCAAGCACTGAGGATACAGAGGATGACAAAGGCTCGGCAATTTATCCATCAACTGTAAGCGTCAGACAAGTATCCACAGTCACAGCAGAGTATGACAAATGGAGAGGCGCTCAGGAAAGGAAGGGGTGGCTGTGAGGGAAGAGAGTCAGGAGGGTGGTGGTCGAGCTGTGTCCAATGGGAATGGCACTTCAGCCGGCAGAAAGGTCTATGGGAGGGCAGGTGGGCATTCTATGCAGTGGGGCCAGTTTACACAGGCAGGAAGACAGAATCCCAGAACGGCCAAGGAAATGTTTGGATGACTCACCAATCCCGAGCAAACTCAACTCTGGACAGGGATGCTGCTGCCCCTGTAATTTGGAGTAGGTAGATTGAAGTTTTTGGGATTGGATGGAAGGTGAGGTAGGCTTGGCCCTTGGAGTTCAGATGGCCTTGGCAGTTCAGTAGAGCCTGGATCATGACCGGAAGGGTATGGGAGACTGGTTCTCAACTTCCCTTGTGGGATCCCTGACCAGCACTGGGGTATCCAGAGCACGTTCTGGCCTTGCGTTCTCCCAGATTGCTGGATTCACCCTATTCCCATCAATGAATTCCCTGGCCCTGGGGCTGCCCTCCTGGACGAGGAACAGGGAGGCAGGCTGATTAAAATGTCTCCCTCCCTTCTATACCAGGAGCAGGAGAACGTTCTGCAGAGGGTCCTGCAGCTGCCAGTGGTGAGCGGCACTTGCGAGTGTTTCCAGAAGACCTATACCAGCACCAAGGAAGCCCACCCCCTGGTGGCCTCTGTGTGCAATGCCTACGAGAAGGGCGTGCAGGGTGCCAGCAACTTGGCTGCTTGGAGCATGGAACCAGTGGTCCGCAGGCTGTCCACCCAGTGTGAGTCCTGTGGCGTCCTGCAAGCTGCCTGCCTGTTCACTGATGCTCACTCCTGCCTGCTAGTCTGTCGAATTTCCTGGTACCTTGTGTGTCCGCCTATCTGCCCACCTGTTTACCCATTACCTGGTCTGCCAAAGCATTTTCCTAGGATGGCAAGTATGAGCCAAAGAATTGGCAGAGGGTGTAGGGATAAGCAAAGGTGTACGGGCGAGCCCCCAGTGGGAATCCCCAGGCCATAGCCTGTCTGAGCTTAATGCAGCAGCAGCAGCAGCAGCAATAGGAACAAGCAGACTCTGGTACAAAAGCAGACAGCGAGCATTAAGGCTGACCTGGAAAGGCTTGGAGCAGAGGAGAGGGATGCTATCAGCTTGTGACTGGCGGGAGGTGGGGTGGGGTAGGTGCAGCAGAGAGTCCATGTGGGCCTTACCCCCTCACCTCCCTATCTTCCACCTCACTTCCATCTCATTCTAATTATTCTGCCTCATTTGAAAATATGGTCTTCAAGGCTTTTTGGCAGAGTTGAGGGAAATTCTGACCGAGCTAAGTAGACCAGGACCTCCACCATTTTAATTAGAGAATGCTGGGTATCTGAGGATTCTGCATAGCCAACAGAAGATGAACGCCAGGCCCTGGGCCAGCTGTGCTGCCCACAAGCTCCTTAACTTCCCAGAGCCTCACTTTGTCCAAAGAGAAGACGGCCAACTCACGTGCACTGTGCTGCTCAAAACATCTCATGAGGAAAAGTAAGCTCTCTCGGGAAAAAACATACACAAGTTCATAGAAAACCAGATGAAAAGTAATGGAATTTTCCTACGGGCTTTCTGAAGTCCAGCTCCTGGGCAGGGTCTCTGGAGGCATTTTCTCTACTGCTTGACCTGAGACAAAGGCAACTCCCTTTTCTTCCCTGTGACCCTGTTCAAGCCCCCTATTCTTGGAACAGAGTGGTTAAAAGAAAGGCCAGGGAGGGTGTGGGCCCTGGATGGGCTGTGATTGGGAATTTGTCACCTTTAGACCCAAGGCCCAGGCCTAGCCCAACAAGGCCCAGCCCCAGGGCCCCACTGCCTCCCACACTCACACCTCCGTTCTCCTCCCTAGCACTTGCCCAGTGCTCCTGGTTACTGGTCAGAGCAGAGGGAGGAGAACCAGAGAATCTGTAGTTCTTGGTTTCACACATTTCTATCTCCTGCACCTCCCCACAGGCCTGCAGGCTAGGCACCATTGTTAGGTTCCTTGTGAGAACCAGGTGCCTCTGGCTTGGATAAGCTGTGTCTTCCTGGGAGCCACACACTGCCAACACTGGGGTTGAGTGTAGGCGTGACTAACTCGAGAGCCCCCACACAGATAGAAAAGACCATCCTCACTCACCGAGTCACAGTGGGTAAGCACTAAAGATGGCAATAGGCCTTGGGTTGAAAGATGCTTTGGAGGCTGCAAGGCTCCTTCCTCCCTGGGCCCAGAGAATGCTGTGAGATACTTACAGTGGGGTGCGGGATTCACCCCCAAATGGCCCTTTGCTTCCAGTCACAGCTGCCAATGAGCTGGCCTGCCGGGGCCTGGACCACTTGGAGGAAAAGATCCCGGCCCTCCAGTACCCCCCCGAAAAGGTAAGCTCCCTCCTCTCGTGTCCCGACAGCCCAGCTCAGGGAGGGGAGCTGATGTGTAGCTGTGAGTCTTTTTGTTTCTCTGGCAAATGCCCTCCCAGATGGAAAGGGCTGCCTGTCCACAGGGTTGCAGGCTGGGTTTCCTTCTCCCCGCCCCCGCCTCCCGATCACCCCACACTCACACCCCGCACGCTGCCCCTTTCCCCTCACCAAAGCAAGTTCCCTTTGGTCTGTGTTTTTCTCCAGTGAGGGGCTGGAGAGTTCTCCAAGGATGGTGGGGAAGGGGCTCCCAAATCTATGCTGGATGGAGGACAGAAACAATCACCATTGGGAGGGGCTGCTTTTGGATCCAGCCTGGAGCCCACCAGCCCCCTGTGTACACCTGGGCTGCAAGGAGCCTTCCTGGCATGGGCTCTGGGATTGGACCTCAGTGAGCTCTCACTGGATCACTGGGTGACTACAACCCCCTAAGATCATGGGTCGCACTTGTCAGGATCCCAGGGTTGTAGCTCCATGTCTCCAAAGTCCAACCCTTTGTGGACCCTGTGACAAAGAGGGTCACTTCATCTGCATACACAGTTATTAGATTGTTGCCATATAGGCCCCCGAGGGAGCTTTGGGGAAGAAACTTCAGTCCCTGCCCTCATCCATCTCATGGGCCACCTCCCCTCCCACAAGCATTCCCTGACCCATGCTTGGGTCAGTAGCCGCAGCATGCCACGTAGAGAGCCTCTTATCTAATCCTCGCATCAGCCCTTTGGGAGAGGGGTGCTGATTCCCATTCCACAGATGAGAAAACCAGTGGTGGGCCCTGCAGCCTTAAGAGCAGGACACAGGAGCGCGGCTCCACTTGGCCTTGAGGCTTTTGCTCCTTGCCCCCAGTGTCCAGATAAAGGGCATGTCTTTGTCCCATAGGAGCTTCCAGATTAATAGGAGAGAAAGACAACAACAAAAAAGAAAGCCAAGGTGAAGTCCATCCAGACCAAAACCCAAACCCATTGCCATCAAGTTGACGTCCACTCCTGTTGATCCTATAGGACAGAGTAGAATTTTCCCATGGGCTTTCCTAGGCTTCCATTGATCTAAAAGGAGCCCTGGTGGTATAGTGGTTACTAATTGGGCTGTGATCCACATGGTTTGAAGCCACCAGCAGTTCCTCAGGACAAAGACTGGGCTTTCTACTCCCGTAAACTCTCAGAAAGCCACAGGGGCACTGACTTGATGGCAATGAGTTTGGTTCTTTGTTAATCCATCAGACAGCCATATCTTTCTCCTACAGAGCAGATGGGTCTGAACTACCCACCTCTTGGTTAGCAGCGGCTGAGGGCTTCCCCACTGTCACCCGTGCTCCTCTATATCCATAAACTAACACAAGTGCAGATGGCATATGATCTATGTTCTCTGAGATGGACAGGGGACACAGAAAATGCCAGTGTGCATTAGGGTGTCAAGACAGGATGGCCAAGGAGGTGGCTTTAGGGGCTGTCGTCTTAGAATGAAAAAGGCCTTCCTGGAAGCTGGGCTCAGGGGCCTGCAGGACCCACACGCTGCCCCTCACCCCTCCAGATTGCCTCTGAGCTGAAGGACACCATCTCCAGCCGCCTTCGCACAGCCAGGAATAGCATCAGTGTGCCCATCACAAACACTTCAGACAAGGTCTTGGGGGCCGCTCTGGCCAGCTGCGAGCTCGCCTGGGAAGTGGCCAAAGACACGGCCGAATTTGCTGCCAACACCCGAGCTGGCCGGCTGGCCTCTGGAGGGGCTGACCTGGCCCTGGGCAGCGTGGAAAAGATGGTAGAGTTTCTCCTCCCTCCAACCAAGGATGAGTCAGGTATCTACTGCTGGGGTGAGGACAGGGAGCCCCGTCCTGGCGGAATTACAGGAGGCAGCCGGGGGGCCCCCCAGATGTGGCTTTGGGCTCTGCAAAGGAGAAGGCCTCGTGGGATTGTCAGACCCCTACTCATTTAGCCTCCTCCCCAAATCTGGAAGTGGTGAAAATGAGTTGCCCAATTACTAATGAGTCTGTGGTGAGCTCTCATGCTGCTTTCTAGCCCTGGATACAACCCCCATTTCTCCAGGCCCTCTTTGATCAATTTCCCCTTCTTTCCTCCAAACCCTACCCAGTCCCTGGTCCTGGGTGCCCGAGGGCCCAGAAGAAGTCTGCCAAGGGCAAGCCAAGCCTGATGAAGAGGGTTGGTGCCCTGGCCAACACCCTCTCCCAGCAAACCTTTCAGACCACAGCCTGGGCACTGAAGCAGGGTCATGCTGCAGCCATGTGGGTCCCAGGTGTGGCGACTCTGGTGAGTAAAGGCCTTGAGCACTGACAGGCCTCCAGCCTGGCTGACCTGTGGACAGCCTCTACCTCCTGCTCCTCACTGTCCCTGGCTTAGCTCTCTCTGCTGCCCAGAGGACATTCTGTCGGCCAACCTGGCTCTCAGAACTTTAGTTTCACAGACAAGAAGCCATCAGAGGGATGGAGGACGTGTCCACAAGGTGAGAACTTAAGGGCAGGCTGAGCTTGTTAGGATGGTTGATACCCACTTCTGTCTCATCTGTGCTTCCTCGGAGCACCTTACCCAGCTTCTGTCCCAAGTGGGCCTCTTGCTGTGGTGGCCCCCACCCCTTCCTACGTGGAAGCAGAAACTCATCTCTTGTAACTCCTCTTAGCACTATGGAGTATCACCCTGAAGTAAACAAAGCACAAACCCCATAGAGAACCCCATCTGGCTCCGTGTACCCTGGCTTCCCCTCTAGATCCTTCTATAGTGTACTCCCACTACACTTAAGAAAAAGCTGCCTCTCTACACTGGCCCTACCTCTCCATGTACTTCAGCAAAGTGAGGTGGGTGTTGTTGTTTTTTTCATAAGGGACTTTCATAAGAAACTAAGTCCACACAAAGGAAGTAAAGACTACATAAAAGTTTAGCCAATAAGACAACCACTTTTCAGCCATCGTTTGGATGATACTTTAAAAGCATCATCAGTCATTTGAACCTACTATGCACCGCATGCTGTGGCTCTGGTGGGGAAGCAGGCCAAGGTGCTCCATTTTGTCCTCTGCTACTTTGGTTTTGGCCAGCACCAGGGTTATTTACCACTGAGGGCCAAGGCTAACCCTCCTGCCCTGCTCTGCCATCTCACACTGGGTAGCGTCCACTGTGTGATACCATTGACAGTACATATAATGGTGGGGGCAGAAACTAGGCACTGCCATCAAGTCAGCTCTGGCTTATGGCAACCCTGTCTACTATAGTATATAGGGTTTCCAAAGCTACAAGCCTCATCTTTCTCCCAAGGAGTGACTGGTAGCTTTGAACCACTGAACTTCCAGTTAGCAGTCTAACACTTAACCAACACAGTACCACCAGGGCTCCATAAGGGATACCTAGAGGTGCTGAATGAATCAAGCTGTGTCTGTGTGAGCACCAGCTTAGTATTGCCTCCCATGGGACACTTGATTGTTTTTCATCCTTTAAAGATGTGCCAGGAATGTCTGCTAAAGTTAGCGCACACACACACACACACACACACACTTATCTACATGGTGACCCAGAGAATCCATGCCTGGATGTAAACCCCACAGAAACAAGTATCTTTGTCTACCCCCTGAAGACAAGTAGACAGGAGCTCTGGTGGCATAATGGTTGGGCTGTTAACCACAGGTCAGCAGTTCGAAACCACCAGTTGCCCCAAGAGAGAAAGATGAGGCTTTCTACTCTAGTAAAAAGTTATAGTCTCAGAAACCCACAGGGGCAATTCTACCCTGTCCTATAGGGTCGCTATGAATCAGAATCGACTGAGTGACAGTGAATGTTCCTATTTGCTTCATCCTTAGCCAAGACCTAGAAACAAATGTTCATGAACAGCAAAATGGTTAACTAAATGGTGGCATAATTACATTGTACAGCAGGGGTCCTCAAACTACAGCCCATGGGCCACATGCGGCCCACCAAAGACATTTATCTGGCCCGCCAGGTGTTTTTGCCGCCACTGCCTGTCCTGCTTAACACCCTATTCATTCAGTGTGCATAGGAATTTGTTCATAGTTTTTTTTAAACTATAGTCCAGCCCTCCAATGGTCTGAAGAACAGTGAACTGGCCCCAGGTTTTAAAAGTTTGAGGACCCCTGCTGTACAGTATCACAGGAATGAAATAGGAAGGAGCTCCTCCTATATGCAACACACCCAATGACTCTCACAACAGAATGTTGAGCAAAAGACGCTATTCATAAATTACTATACGTTTCATGATGTCATGTACACAACATTCACAAAATACGCAAAACTAATCTAACGCTACAGAAGTCAGAATGGTGATCCCCTTGCTGGGGAGAGGGAGGCTGGGAGTTTGTGTGATCTTCTGGGTGGTGGTGCACCAGACGCATGTTGGTAAAAACGCACGGAGCTGTATACTAAACGTGTGTGCATGTAGGAGTATTTGGGTTCTCCATGAATCACCCGCTGAGGCCAGGCTCAGCTCCCCTCAGTCCCACACTCGGGCAAGAGTCTGGCCGCTGGGGCGATGGTGCTGAAGCCAGTGGTCCTGCCGTCCTCAGAGCAGCCTGGCCCAGTGGAGCACCTCAGCGGCCATGCAGGTGGTGTCCCGGCGGCAGAGTGAGGTGCGGGTGCCCTGGCTGCACAACCTCACCGCCACCCAGGAGGAGGATCACAATGACCAGACAGACACCGAGGGGGAGGAGACAGAGGAGGAGGAGAAGGATGACAATGCAGAAGAGGAAGAGAAGCTGAATGAGGTGAGAGACAGGAAGGAGGATGCAGGCATGGGCAGGGCCTGCAAGCCATGACAAAGTGAGAGGGTTGAGAAAGGCACAGGGTGACCCAAGAAGCTCCGCCCCAGGGACATGGTGCACGGGTGCAACACCTCCCCCCACCCCCGCCCGGGCTAACAAAAGACTTCTGTGTCATTCTCCCAGCTGACCCTCCCAGTAGGGTCAGGCAGGGCAGAGATGATTTTCCCATTGTGCAGTGGAAGAAACTGAAGTTCAGAGAGGGAAGACAACTTATCCAAAACCACCCAACTAATGCTGACTCAGGCCTAGAGAGATCTTGTTTATTTTTCAGAGTCCGTGCCATCTCCCCTGTAGCTCTGGGAACAGAGCTAGCAGTGGGGACAGAGGGCCCGAGAGTTGCTGCAGGTGGCACTGACTGACCCTGCTCTGGCCCCCAGGTGACAGCCCTGCCTGGCTCTGAAGGCCTCTTGGGCAGGGTGACACACACGGTGTGGGCAGCCTTCCACAGCAGCTTCTCGGCCGTGACATGGGCGCCTGCCGCTGTGATGGGCATGGTGGGGCGGCTGCTGCACCGTACACCTGCCTCCCAGACTGTCTCTTCGACCAAGAAGAGGGCCATGTCCCTGTCCGATGCCCTGAAGGGAGTTACAGACAACGTGGTGGACACCGTGGTGCACTACGTGCCGGTGAGTCCTACCCTGGGCCAGCCTTCCCTCTCCCCTTGGGACTGGATCAGGATGGAAAGAGTAAATGTGACAGAAGGGTCTGCAGTGTGCCCTTGGGAACCCTCCTATAATCCCCAGTGCCCCAGGAAGACTGCTGTGATGGGGCCTTGACTGTGCCTAAGGCCCCTCCCAGCATCAAGAGGAAAGAAGCCCAGGGCTTCTCCTGCTCTCTCCAGATGCTGGTGAAGGAGCCTCCTTTCAGGGGCCCAACCCTCTCCAGCTCCCAGCGGGAGGACCAGGCAGGTTTGCCTGCTGCTCCCTGGGAAGGGATTGGAAGGAAGCTTCAGGGGGCTTGGAGGGGTAGACTCTAAGTCCCAGGGGACAACAACTGTCCCATTCTTGTTCCATCCCCAATACCAAACCCAAGGGATGCTGATATCCCTTTTAGGGAGCCCATGACCTTCCCAAATCAACTCTGGGAGGCTGGGCAGGGGAAGAGACCCCCTTGTAAGAGGGCTGAGCTAGTCAGTCAGTCATTCCCACCAAGAGGTCTGGGCAGTCAGTCTGATCACTTTGAGCAGAGGGCCCCCAAACTGGACTGAGTAGGGTACCCTGACCCGGGGTTTGGCAATGTTCTGCAAGCTCGGTCTCTAATTCTGGCCCCAGGAATTCCATCATTAAGAACTGCTGTCCCCACCACTGAGGGATCTGGACCCGGAAACTGGGAGGGGCTTGGTTCACCTTTCCTGAGGGGCCTGCCCTGTGGAGACCTTCAGAGCGCATTCCACCCTTGCGTCCCCTGCCCATCACCTGAGCCTGTGACCCACCGTTGAAGGGGGCCAAGTCTGGGAGGTGATGGGGCAGAGGCCATGAACGGGGGCCAAGCAGAGACCCTAATGTGACAGCCAGTCCCTCAGCTCCCTAGGTTATCACTGATGGAGCCAGAGAGCGAATTCCGGGACATTGACAACCCACCCAGCGAAGCCGAGCGCCGGGGGTCTGGGGTCCCTGCCACCAGCCCGGAGTCCTCCCCGCTCCTGGCTCATCAGTCCCGTGGCACTCTGCGCAGCGCGCAGGGCTTGAGCGCGCCCGCCTGCCCGGGTGTGGAAGACAAGCTGGGGACACCCGTCGGGTCACGCTCGGGCTTCCCGGTGGTGCCTCGCGAGAAGCCCAAGCGCAGGGTCAGCGACAGCTTCTTCCGACCCAGCGTCATGGAGCCCATCCTGGGCCGCGCGCAGTACAACCAGTTGCGCAAGAAGAGCTGAGGCGGACGCTAACCCTGCGCCTCCACTCAGTGCGCTAGGGACATTTTCTTTGTCAAATAAATAGAGTCTGTGCGTCCAAGTCACTTGTTCCCTACCCTTAAAACGCTGAGCCTCATTTTTGCCACGCTGCCGTCCACATCCCAATCTTTTTAGCATCTTTTTTTGGCCTAGCTGTCGGCCAAATTTTAAGGGCAGTGGCCTCCTGATTCTGACTTTTTATTTTATTTTTTTCCTGAAAGAATAAATAGTTAACTTGAGGGTTCGAACAGGAGTCCTTGTCATTATAGCACCAAGTCCTATATGGAATTAAGTATTTTGGCTCTCAGCAGACTGCTTGGAAGGAAATACGTTGGGTGCAAGAGCTGTCTGTTTATTTAAAATGTTCATGTGGGTTCCCGGCATCCTTGCCAGTCCCAGGTCTTCTGTAGCCTGACCTCCATATTTCCACCCTTCCCGCATCTCCCTTCCGCCTGCCTTTTGAACACTGGTGCCCTGGGGGGCTGTGGGGTGACAATGGTTTTCTCACCCCGTAGTCCGTATGACAGGGATCCTGGTGGCCACAGCTCACTCCAAATCCCATTGTAGAAAATGTTGCTGGTAGCTGTCTCAAAATGGCCCCCAATTCATGGCCATCTAGGAACAAGAAAATTGGGGTGCTGCGATCAGAGTGTTTTCATTGGCTGATTTTGGGAAGAGATCCCCAGCCTTTCTTTCTAGTCTGTATTCATCTGGAAGCACCACGGAAAGCTGTGCTGTAACAAAGCTATGGGCAAGCTCCACCGACAGGTGACAGAAATCAAACCCAGGTCTCCCACAAGTGTCAGGGTAGCCAGCCCCTGACAATATAACAGGTCTGTAGGAGCAATGGTACAGTTATAATGCATAGAGTTCTTAGTAAAGTCATAGAAGATAGGAGAGTACAATAAGAGAGTCAGACACATTTTACGGTAGCATGCTCACCTCCTGGGTGTTCATGATCATCAGCAGCCAGGTCCACACAGAGCGAGGGCATAGGAGAGGGAGGAGAAAGATTTATTTCTAGCAAAGGCATATATATACTTTTTTTGGGGGGGGGGGCATAGCGAGCAAGCCCCCTGATTACAGGTAACGACATACGTCACAGGAAGGGGTTGTACCATAGGGAATAGGGCAATGGGAGGGGGATGATCTAGAGGTGTACACGCAATAGGAAGAGGAGGGATTAGGGGTACACATGTGACAAGATGGGCAGATCCTGGATTCATGATGGCAGCCTAACCTGGATGGTCCTGAGCTGCTGTCTTGACTTGCTCTGAGTGCTACATCAGGAAAGCAAGCCACTGTCCTTAACAGCAGGAAGTGAGCCTCAATAATGGCAGGACAAGATGATAGGGTCTGATTGCTTTGAACGGTTGAACGCCTTCAGGGAGAATATCTCCAAGCATCTGACCTCCCACCATGTGCTGTCAAGCAGCCTCTTAGGTTTGGCATATATTTGAGGGAGACAAACTGGGGAAAAGCCTTTTTGTATCCGACACACAAGAAGGTGAGACTTCCACCACAGAACCACTCCACACCACTGCCCTACTTTCCCCACCTGCCCCCAGTGCACATACTATTAGTTAAGTCAAACATTGTGAAAACATAAAAAACACTGCAAAAGGGTATGTATGTTCTTCCCTGATGTTCTCAACACACCCAGCCCCCAAAGAAGCATGAGAAAACCCAGAGACCTCTCCGTCCTTGTATGCATCCATACACGCACTTCCCCCAATGTTGCTGTTACATGCCAGTGGGTTTCAAATCGTAGACACTCTGTGTACAAAGGTGAACCCCTGCCCGGGCCTGCACCCTCCTCACCATTGAAGCATCCCCTGTGCCAATGCATCTTGATGAAGGGCTTCTCTCTCTGCTGACCCTCTACTCTTTACCAGAGCTTGATATCTTTCTCCAAGTACTGTGTGTTCCTGAGAAAACCGCAATACTCGTTGCCATCAAGTCCATTCTGACTCACAGTGACCCGACGGGACAGGGCAGAACTGCCCCGTGGGTGCACTGGACAGAAACCAAATCCTGAGACTCATTTTATGGGAGTAGAAAGCCTCATCCTACTCCCCCAATGGGTTAGTGGTTTTGAACTGCTGATCTTACAGCCCAATTTGTCACCACTGTGCCACCAGGGCACCTTCCTGCCTAATAATATATCCAAAATATTTTAGATGAAATCTCACCAGCCTTGCCTCTAAGGGGCCTTCTGGTTGTACTTCTAAAAGATTTTGTTCTGGAAGTCTGTGGTAATTTCAGTACTCTGGCAATTCCATAATCCAAACACGTCCATTCTCTTCTGGTCTTTATTTATTTTAAGGCTTTTGTATGTATATGAGAATACAATGGCTTGGGTTAGGTGCACCATACTCCTCAAAGTGACAGGTTCTTGCTCACAAGGCCTTTTGCAGCAGATTCGAATGCTTCATTTGATTTCTGATTGCTGCTTCCATGAACCCCACAACTTGATTGTGGAGCCAAGTAAAACGAAATCCTTGACAATGTCAATCTTTTCTGTTAATCCTGATGTTACCTACTGGTTCAGCTTTGTGGATTGTGGTCTTCTCTCCATTGAGTTGTAATCCATATCGAAGGTTATACTCTGACCTCATCGGCAAGTGCTTCAAGTCCTCTTCACTTTCAGTAACAAAATTGTGTCAACTGAATAGGACAGGTGTTTAAAGAGCCTTCCTCCAATCCTGATGCCACTCCCCCAACCGCCCCCCATAAAGTCAAGCTTCTCAAATTATTTGCTGAGCATTTAGACTGAATTAGTATGGTGAAATGATACAACCCTGACACACACCTTTCTGGATTTTAAACCACACAGTATCTTTGTTCTGTCTGAATGACTGCCTCTGGATTTAAGTACATGTTCTGCATGAGCACAATGAAATGTTCTGAAATTCCCATTCTTCTCAATTTTATCCATCGTTTGTTAGGATTGGCACAGTTAATTGTGAACACAAGTAAACATCTTTCTGGAATTCTCTGCTTTTAGCTAAGATCCATTCTGACAGCAACAATGATGTTCCTCATCTTATATCCTCTGCTGAATCCGGTTTTAATTTCTGGCAGTTCCCTTTTGATGTACTACTGTAACTGTTTTTTAATGATCGTCAGCATGATATTAATGCTATTATTCAATAATTTCCACATTCTGTTGGGTCATCTTTCTTTGAAAGGGGCACAAATATGGATCTTTTCCATTTGCTAGGTCAGGTAGCTGTCTTCCAAATTTCTTGTCATGAGTCGGTCTGGTTGAGGGGTCTTTCTAAAGCTCTATGCTCAAAAGACAGGCCAAGCAATCTGCTTCTGACCCATTCTATTCTCTACACATGGGGGTCACCACGAGTCAGAACCAACTAAGAACACAACCACAACTAGGATGAGGTGACAGGGCTCAGCCTGGTCCTGGCAGGTCTCCCTGGGGCAGCTGCTAGAAAAGTGACTGGGTGTGGAAACACTCGCTGTCCCC